CAGGAGCTGATCCCTGCCCTTAGGTCTGCAGACGGAAAAGTGGAGATTGATGACCAGGTTAAAGCGTCCCTCCTTTCCGACTTCTTTCAGTCCGTCTTTACCCGAGAACCTAGTTCTATATTTGCCCATCCATCAATTCACCCACCAACCTCTCCTCCCAGTACCCTTTCCCCTCCTATCCCCTCCCTACCCTCCTTAACCGAGGAACCACTCTTTTCATCTACCATAGTTAGGGCCGAGTTACTCCGGCTGAAACCTGCCAAATCGCCTGGCCCAGATAGAATTCCCGCCCTAGCACTTCGTGAACTTGCTAATGAACTGTGCAAACCCTTATCCGCAATATTTCAAAAGTCATTTGAAGACGGCGAGCTCCCGCACTCATTACTCCGATCCATAAAGGAGGCTCAAGACTTGACTGCGGAAATTATCGTCCTGTCAGTCTTACTTGCATCGCGTGTAAACTAATGGAACGCATTATCAAAAGACAGTTGATGAAATACCTGGAACAGAACAAAATATTGTGCGATGCCCAACACGGCTTTCGTCTAGGGCGCTCCTGCTTAACGAGTGTTCTTTACTCGCACGAGAAATGGACACGAGCTACCGATAAGGGTTTTCCAGTAGATGTCAAATTTTTTGACTTCAAGAAGGCCTTTGACAGTGTCCCACACAGGCTTCTTTTACAGAAGATCTGGGATGTAGGAGTTTAAGGAAGAATGTTTAAGTGGATCAGGAGTTTTCTGTCCTCCAGACTACAAAGAGTCGTCGTTAGTAATTCTGACTCGGAATGGGTAAAGGTGGAAAGTGGTGTCCCACAGGGTTCTGTCTTAGGCCCAGTACTCTTCCTGATTTATGTTAATGACTGCATCAACGAAGTGAATTGCGAGGCTCTCATGTTCGCGGATGACATAAAAATATGGAGTGAAGTCAAGTGTGATGATGACGCAGAGAAGTTGCAGTCGAACATCAACAAACTGTGTGCTGGGTCGAACAGATGGCTTTTGAAGTTTAACGTGTCCAAATGCGTGGTCTTGCACCTGAACACCGGCCGCAATGCCTCTCCCAAACACCAGTACTATATTGACGGGACGAGGTTAGAAACTGTGGAAAGACACAGAGATCTGGGTGTATGGACGACCACAAATCTATCGCCATCAGAACACTGTAGAAAGATGGTCCAGAAGGCAACTAGTACTCTACACTCGATCAGACGTGCATTTAAAGTATTTCCTCCCGAACTTTTCGAAAGACTCTTTGGTGTCTTTGTAAGACCTCATCTAGAGTATGGAATGCCAGCAGCTTCACCATGGATGAGGAAGGATATCAACTTACTAGAGCAGATGCAACGCAGAGCGACAAAGATGGTCGACGGTCTGAAGCATTTGTCTTATCAGGAGAGGCTGAATTTGCTTGGCCTATTCCCTCTCTCTTATAGACAAATAAACTGCAGTCTACTCTGGACGTTCCGGATTGTTCGCGCCCAGGGTTGCTCATTAAGTGCAGAGGAC